AGAAAACCATAACAGTTGTTCCTATCCAGTTGCTAGCATGTAATATTTTAATACATTATTCAATCTTTAAGTCAGATTAACAAATCTGTCTCATTAAAATGTTTATTCTATAATGAAAGCATTGGAAAACCTTTCTTGTAGCCTTTTAAAATGTACAGAACATTGTTGACATTTAGTAGTTAATCTGCAGTAGTGCATCAAGACTTCTTTCTTGTGTCTGAGTGTAACTTAGTTCCTGTTTTTAATCCACCTTTTCTCATTTCTTCTCCCATACTTCTGTGGCCTCTGGTAGCCACTGTTTTACTCTCAACTTCTCTAGATTGGGTTTTGAGATTCTGTATATGAGTGAGTTTATGAGACACTCATGCTTCTCTACCTGGCGTTTTTCATTCTACCCTGTTACCACACGGGACTTCATTATTTCCTGTGGCTGAGGAGTATTTGTGTGTGCATATTACATCTTCTTATCCAGTTTATCAAATGCTTCCATTTCTTGACGATTGTGAATAGTGTTAAAATGAGCACAGGCAAGCATATGTATCTTTGATATACACGTTTCATAACGATTTGTTTGAAATGGAAACAATGATGGAGCATTTTGGGGATTAAAGAATAATGTACATGGACATTCATTACTACAATGATTGAGAATCAGTATTGTCACTTTTACTGCTGGTTAGGGAACTGGGGAAGTATTTCAGAAGTAAAAATGCACTCATAATTAAAGTTCCATTTTAGAGTAACAAAGTACATACTGATATTACAGACTTCTGAATTATTTAAAATACTTTATCCCACAGCTTTAAAAGTATTTCTATTCAATAACAAAATAGAGCTTTTTTTCATAGTTGTTATAACGATGTACTCAGGTTTTTCTCTAATTGGTGGAATTATTTCTGTTGCACTGAATGAACCCAGATTGTGTGTGTGTCTGTGTGTGTATGTGTGTGTATGTGTGTTGCTTATATCTTACGTTTCCTGAACTTTATTATTTTTGTTACATCTAAGGTTTTTAATGTTATGTTCAGATGGAGTAAGTTGAACTATAAAGATAAGCTTTTTAAAAACTATAACCTTTGATTTCTCCTTTTATTTCTTTCTGTGATTTTAACAGCCTTGGAAAACAATTAGCAAGATATATTAATTCATTAGAAGTAGCAAATGGTGTACTACATTCATTCATTCTTCTTCATTTATTAACTAGAGTATTTCTATAAGAGAAATGTAGATTAACTATTTTGTTAAGCAGAAATAGTTTGTACAGAGAAAGCAAAATGCATGTTTTGTTCTTCTCAATTTCTTTACCAGTTTTTAAAGTAATGTTTTTCTAACATTCTGCAAAAGCTACCATGAGATATCTACTAACATTTGCATGTGTGAATTTAAGTATATTTTAAAGTTTAAGATTTCAGTCACTACCCTCATCTAAGATCAACTTATTTGTTAGTGTAGCCCTTTGAAAATTCATTCCCATCTGCTTTTGTTTTGTCCCTAGTAGACATTGATACCTCTTTGCTATTTTGCCAATATTAGGCCTATAAAAGACCACCAGTGAATTTGGCTAACTAAATATAAAAATAACAGTAGGTTGAACAGGAATTTGATCCAGCCTCTTACCTACTAATTTAAAGGAAATACAGTAAATGATAAAGCATGTGTAATGGTATCTCGTGTAATACAAAACATTCTGGTTTTTTCTCTTTCATAGTAAATACACTTTTTAAATGTTAAAAGTGATGATTTATTGTTTTTCTTTAAGGAAAATTAATTTTAAAATAATGAGATACTGTGTGGCATATCTGTTGGAAGGAGTTTAAAATACCAGACAATCGGCCTGATATGTGGAAAAACTGCTGTTGGGAAAATAACATTTCATACCATTTGGGAATTCATTTTGAAAGATAGTTCTAGAAATAAGTATTTTGCGTATAATCCAGGGATCATACTCCTAATTATTTCCCCTGGAGTAATAAGAGCCTTAAGTTCATATAAAAACCTACAAGTGAAAGTTTACTATGACTTTATATGTGAGTGGTACTTGAAAAAAAATATGTGAATGTTTAAATTTAAAGAAATTACAGTGAAAGACCCATTACCATTGATGTCCCTTAAAATGCCCTCTCCCCCATTTTTTAAAAATTATATTTAAAGGAGAAAAAAATAAACAGGACAGTGTAAGGGTAAAAGTAATACAGAATTAAAAAACAGTAAAAAATCACTAGTTAATAGATTACATATTGTCATCTTACAAATAGTTGTTCAAGTTACAGGATTAAAGCATACAAGGTGGACATTCAAACAGTGAGACTGTAAACAGTTGTGTTCAGTGATCCAACAAAAACTTAGTAATATGGTCATCTATCTTAACACTCCTAAATGCACTTGCAGCTGTATCCTTTAGAGCACTTTTTTCCTCTCTTTTTTCCAACAACATTTACACATTTTTCCTCTCCCCCATTTTGAACAGACGTATTCTATCATTCTTGCCATTTTCTGAAATAGTCCAGCAAGTCCTCTTTCATGAGTGTCCTTGGAGGAGTGACTGACGATACAGTAAATGCTGCTGCCAGGTGCCATCTGTGGGAGTCAGATTCATGAAAACACTACCTTGTGTTCATAACCACTTTATTCATCAGACCTGGTCCAGTGCAAAATCTGACTTACCATCAAAGACAAAATGGCCATGGAAGGTAACCATTTTAAATTGACTCAGGACATCCGGACAACCATGATAGCACAACTGTGATACTCACAAGAGAGGACTTTTGAAACTGGTAAGAATGAAGAGAAAATATTTTTGAGGGTGAATAAAGGCAGTGCATCATTTACTGTAAAGTTATTTTAAATTTAAACACACATATTAAGTGACTCACATATTTATCAGCTAGCAAATCCCGTATACTGAAATAATTTCAGCAATAAACTGTAATTATTAGGGGCTGGGGATTTAGCTCAACGGCATAAGTACCTGCCTTGCAAGCAGGCAGTCGTGAGTTCAATTCCCAGTACCGATAAAAAGGAAAAAGACAAAAAAGGTAATTATTAGTGCTTCCAAGGCAGTAAAAATGTTTCTCAGATGCATTATACCTGAAAGAAACCAAATTCAAAAGAATACATGGTAAATTGTTTCTGCATTTGATATTTAGGAAAAGTCAGCTCGAGGGGCAGAAATTAGATTAGTCATTGTCTGATGATGGGAAGGAAAATGGATCACTGTAGAGGGCCACAGGAACATTTAAGGGAGATTGAGAGTATTTTATAGCTTGATCATAGCCATAACTTACAAAGATGTGGAGATTTTGTCACAGTACATAGAAATACACCTTTAACATACTGAACACACTTTAGTCAACCTGAAAATTATAATAAGATATTTTTAAAAGCAATCTCACTGTAATGTAGAGCAGTATTTTGATTTTGGTTTCTGGGGAATTAATAAAACATTAAAAGTATTTGATGACATTAAGTAATTGTTATCTGTGTTAATGTACTAAAAATAATTCTAGCAAAAATCTTTATTTTAGAAATACACACATGGTGACAGAGTAAATGATTTGACTACTGAAATTTGCTTCAAAAAGTCTTGCACTGGGAGAGTAGCTATGGATGAAATAAATGGAACATAAATTGGTGTTTAATAAAACGATAATGAGTTATGATTTTAAAAACTATTTTCTCCTAAAACATTTGAGAGTTTTCTACATAAAATTTAATTGAAAAAATATAGTTGAGTTTTACCAGTTTGAATATTCAGTAATGAGTATATAGCGTTTACCACAGAAATTTAATACTAGGTGCATCTTTTATAACATGTCAATGAAATACATTGCAGTGGCTCAATTAAGTAGAACTACAAAATTCTTGTAGACAAAAAAACAGGTGGTAAATAATGAACTAACAATGGCATTTTTAAAAACTGCACTTAAAGAATCCTTCCTCATTGGCAAGGTGAACTGAACCCAATAATGAGCTACATAAGCATTGTCTCCTCAGTGTGTAGCCCGTTGCCTGCCCTACCTTGTGCCTGTGATCCAGCGCTGGAAAAAGTATAGAGCTGCTAAATTTTGATAGTTACATATTTTTCTACTGTAAACATAGCAAAAATACTCTTAGCTCCTCTCTGTCTTTCTAGATTTGTTTCTGTCCTCCTACTTTGCCAGTATAATCCCCACTCCTATTTCAGACTCCAGAGGAATTTTTTAAAATTGTCTGTCTGTCTGTCAGTCATCACATCAAATTGAAGACCATCTTGTTCTGGCCTAGCTCAGGTTTAATTTTCTTCGTGAATTCTTCCAGATTTGCATTTCAACCTTGGCTTAATCGCCAGTGTATTTTATAATTGTCCATTTTATCATTTAATATAGTTTATTCTTGTTATTTGTTTAGTAGATGTTTTTTGACCAGATGATGGTTACTCTAGGTTAGTGAAAGAAAGGGGTATAGCTTTAATTTTGCTTTTCCATCTTTTAGCAAATAGTATATTACCTATTATTTGCCAGTAATAGCATCTGCTCTTGAGCATAGTGTTCTTTTCATAAGTGTTTTCATACTTTTCTGTTTATTAATGTACATTTAATAATATTAGAAAGAAACCTTTTAAATATGTTTTTATTAATGTTGACTGAAAAGACTATTAGAATAGGAAAATAAGCAAAGTTGTATATTTCCTTAGTTTAAAGTTAATATTAGTTTTAAGAATCTGTTAGTAAAAATGATTCTTTAAATTGTATCATTTAGCTATTTTACTCAGCATTGTTAAACCTAAATCCATTTGAAATTATCACCATGCATTTTATCATGACTCAATGTTGTCATTATGCACACATATTTCATACATATGGAAAAAATTTAGAATACTATAACTTGTGAAATGTGATGAATAAGATATTAATGATTATTGATGATTTAAATAACAAGTATTTTAATACATTAATTATTCAAATAATTTAATGTATTTTTTAGTTGAGAAATTCATGCAAGCTTTATCTGTTCACTTTCAGTTGTGTTGCTTGATACAACTACTGTGCTGGGTGAACTAGGATGGAAGACGTATCCATTAAATGGGGTGAGTTTAAGTGTGTTAAAATTCTCATCCTCTTTAGGTTTTAGGACTTGGGATAAATGAAATAACAGATTTTTGGTACTCTTTTATATCCTTTTTGGTATTTAAAATCATGTGAAAAAGATTAAACTATAAATGACAAGTTGATGGGACTTGTATGTAAACATTCTGTTTTCTTCTATATTATAGTAACTGCTGTGTTTTACAAATAGTAATGTTAGAATTCTGCTTATACACATTTTCCTCAGAAATAAATTTTGATATGTAATATCAGGACATTTGTCTTTATAAATGTTACATACAGTAATTATGAATTTGGAAAAATAAAGTTTTATAAGCACATTGTAAAACTATTAACAATTTGGATTTTAATACACTAGGACTCTATTAAAATAGTATTTTAATTTGGCAGAAAGATACTTTGTGCTTAGGTTTTTATTAACTCTAAATAGTTGCTTTTGAAAGCTTACAAAAATGTATAATTTTTGTAATACTGTTTTCCAGAAAGTAACATTTTACCTATGATAGTACTTGAATTTATATGTTTTATCTTTTCTGCAGCTTTTCATAATACTTTTTTATATCAACCTAAAATGAAAGAGTTCTTTTGAAGATTTTTAGTTTTTTTTTTCTATTTAAAAAATATTCACTGATAAAAACAGATGTTTTCTGCTGCATCTCTTTTAACTTTTTTTCTTGGAAATTGTATTTTTGTAACATATCCTTTGATATTATTTACCTTGTTTCTTGTAGTGTATCTCCAAATTTAAATCTGGAAATTAGATATGATTTTAGTTTATCATGTTACTAAAATGTTGTTTGAATTTAATATTTTAATCAAAAGTTATTCATTAAATGTGAATTTTTAAAAATCCTATGAAGAGTTGAATCTTCCTGTCTTTAACACCTTATTTGCTTTAGATTTATTTTATATTCTGTGATTTTATTATTTTTTATTTTCTTTTTTATAGTAGATAGTTCATTAAACTAACTCTGAAAAATAACCTTTTAATGTAAGATGTGATTTTTTCCTTTTTTTATGAAAATTAGTTACCACCAATATGTAGTGTTTGTCATTAAGAAGGTAATGAATCTTTTATGTGGTATACTCTTTCAATATCTATATAATTTGAAAAAAATATGTATTTATATATATATTCTCAGTAAACAAAACATTTTCTAAGTTCTTAACCAATAAGTAGATAGTTCAGAACTCCTATTTTTTGTTTACTAAAAATAGATAAAATTTTACCAGTGGCTTCATAGTATCATAGATAAAAATCATTTGTGGGGGAAAAAGCTTTTGATCTTCTCTGCTAATTATGTGCCTATTGATTAAGCTTTATTTCAGAGAAAACTAGTAGCTAGGAGAAGCATAGACTTACAGCCACAGGTGAGATTGCCGCTATCAGTCTGATTTTGATTTTTTTCCCTAAACTACTTTTAATGTGTTATGGAGAGATAGGGCAGAATTGTTTGAGGAAGTGTTGCTTATGCTTCAGTTTTCTGTTTGATAGACACAGTCCCTAACATTTCACATTTTAACTTTAGCAATGGTCCTTTGAAGTTTGCCTTACTTCTGTTTCTCCAGTGGAGAATCCTAGTTATAAAAAAAAAAAAAAACATAAAATACCAACAGATATTTGGTGTTTTATAATAACAATAGCTAAGTAGTGAATAATAAATTCTTGTGCTAAGATAATTCTGACTCATGTGGGAATACTTTTCACTTTTGTGTTATATATGACTAATAGATTTTTCCCATTGATAATTTTAATGGTAGTATAAAATACACAGTTTGGGCACTGCGTGTTAATATTACCTGAAGGAAAAGGAGGACTAAAGGAAAGAGAAGACTGTATTAGAAAATAAGTGACAAAGTAAAGGAAAGGGTGATCAAAATTTATTATTTATCACGTACTAGACTTTGCTTCAAACATTTTACTCACATTAGTCCTATATATCAAGTGTAACTTATCCTAATTTATAGATGCAAAATTTAAACTCAGATATGTTAAATAATTTTTGCAAGGTCACAGAGCTAGGAAATAGTACAACAAAAACCCTTAGAAGGACTTGCCCTAATCTTGAACACTAATGGATGGTTATTTCACAGCAAGTAATTTTTTACTTTTTCTAAGATTCTGCTCTGTAAGAATAAAGACTGATGACCTGTGAAATCAAATTATGGAGGGGGGGGGAACTAACACATGAATTCAAACATTAAAAAGTAGGTTAAATACATAATTAAATTGAAATATTATGGATAATACGAGCTATATTACTTTTAGATTATCCCCAAGAAACATATATGGAAATTGTTAACAGTAGGAATATTTGAAAACTGGAGAACATGGACCAATTTTATAACACATGTAAATGAGGCATTATAACCTAATCCTAACCTTAAATAAAAGGGAATAGAGAGAAATAGTATTTAATTTATTATTTGTATGAAGAGAATTAACTATTTAATGGAGTTTTCCTTCATGCTCCCTGCAGACTAAAACAAGCAAGGAAATAATCACTAAGAAAGAACTTTAAAAGAAACTACTAAAATGCAAAAGTTAAAACAATCTAGATATAAAAGATTAAATAACTTAAAACTCCATGGGGCCCATATATCAGTTTATAATATGTAAACTATTATTGAGACACACTTTAAATTTTTTTCATTAAATGTATATGAAGTAGCATGTAATTTTAAAATTCCCTTTCATTGACCCATGCTAATATAAGTGGCCATTTTTAACTATTTTAGACACAACTTCAGTTGATTTATGAATATCTTGTAAGTGACAAAACTATGCAATCATAGTAGAGAATTTGTAGTGTAAAGTTTATCTGATGTTTCTGTGAAAATGTGTTTTCTAGGAGTATTTTAGTTGGAAATATTGTCTTAATGTAAAGACTAACACTATTTGTACACACCTATAAAGCACTACGTAAAACATAGGAAATTAATCCATATTTCCATAGGTCAGTCTGTGTCCCTCTACCTTTCTTTCTCCTCTCCATTTAAAGTAGCCATTTGGACAGTGGTATCCTGCCATTGGAGTTATTTGGGTAGATATTCAGAGCATGCCTATGAACAAAATCATCCCTGGCCATTTTATTAGGAGTTGAGCCACACTTTTTAGTAAATTTGGAAAATAATCCTGAGCAAATAGCATAACTTTAGGTTTCAAAAGTGAAAACAGAATATAATAATTTTCTGAAACATTTTCTTGTGTCATCAATTACTAAATAATTCATTTTAAAAAGTATTTCCTAGAACTTAATTTAGCAAAGTTGTATATTATGTTTCTTTGTGCCATGTGCCCTGTTAGTAGACTTATAAGAGATATTCTAGCCTAAAACATTCTTGGTTTATAGCAATCAGACTACACAACAGAAAGTGTCCTCGTGTAGTTTTTTGTAATTTTTTGTGAAAGAATATTAAGAGGAAGAGTTAATTATGGTGATAGAAAATTGAGAGTGAGGAGAAAAAGTCACCTCCTTTTTATAAACTCTGCAACACATCTGGAAAAGAGCCACCTTTTCAGGGAAACAGAATGGCTGTCTCAAAGGTATGAAAATATGAAATGTGCACTCTTTATGTGCATTATTTGTGACTCCTGTACATCAGTTCTTACAGAATTCTTAATGCACAGAAAGTTTTAGTAATGCTGAGAGTCATTTGTCTGGCCAGAATGCAAGGATCTGGTTAAAAGTTAGGCTGTGATCATGGGCAAAATCATGCAGTGAAATAATTTTAGTATCTTAGTTGATCTAAATACTACATTTCTCAGATCCAACAAGTAAGAGTAAAAAATTAAAAAAAATAACCTTACTGGATATTGCAAAAATTACTGAAGTACTATATCCTTTTGTTTAATATAGTAATTTGGGCTCTCAGAAATGAATGACCCTCTTGGAAATTGGAAAGAAAAGGTGCTCAAAATACAGATCACATGACATTGCTGATATTGGGAATGAAGTAAAACTGACTAATTTCTGAAGAATATAGTTGAAGCTTAGTTTTGTAAGAGATAAATACATCAGGGAATTGAGGAACTACTGTTCCTTAAATTTTCACACTGTATTCTCTTTTGCTTTTTGTTTTCTGCCACCTTTTTTTTCCTCTTAAATAAAAAAAAAAAAAGAATTCTGTGTTGAATATTTCAAAAATACTTACAAACTCCAGGAAAGTAATATGTTAACAAACAAAAGAATGTGCATAAATAAATTTTTTCTTTATAACACAATAGGTGTTCTAAATTAATACTGAAGCATTTTTACGTCCATTAAATATAGGTAAATGCTTTGTCTTTGTGTTTACTACGAAGAACTAATCTTACTAAATCTTACTCTAGTAAATCCCAAATCTTACTCTTGTAAACCCTAAATCTTACTCTGAAAAAATTGAAGGACTAGCTTTAGTTCTTTAAGACTTCTAAAAGTGAGATGATTTTAATGCTAATTAAACCAAAACACAGAGACACACAGATCCAGTGTATGCAGTAACATTGTATAGAATAAGAAATTGAAGAATATATATCCTTAAATTATTCTCCTGTTCTTAAAATAAATAATATAAATGTTTTAAAACATTAACTCTTGTGTCTATTCTTTTCTTTTTGATGTTTTTACTTATTTGATTTAGTTTTAGCCATTGTAGAACATTATAAAGGATAAATTATAGTAATAGCAACAGGATCTGTAGTTAAGAATAATATTCGAAATCCTTATTAATCATTACAGATTATGCCCCACTTTATGTCACACAACAGTGAGTATCTCATATTGGAGTACTGTGGCTATTAACTTGAACTGGTAGTAAGCAGTTACTCTGAACCAGAGAAATAAAAGGCTTTTTACAGTATAGAAAGAATTTTATAATTAAAACTCTATTTTCTTTTCTTTGAGCTTCAGTAATTACATTTGATAACTTTTAAAATTCAATAGCTATGTGGTTTTCTTTAAAATTTTGGTACTGTAAAAAGATAAGCAGCTTTTTAAAAATAGCCATATACTGGTTATTAGGGATAATTATAATTGAATAAAATCTGATAATTACTATATATCATTTCATAATAATTTTTTGGATACTGTTTAATTTATACCTAAAATTACATATAATACTGTGCTTATTATTGACAGAACGTGATTTTAAGCACTCCATCAACTCATTTGAAACAGTAATGTCATCATTTATTTTAACATACAATAACATTTTAGCGAAAAAATATTTTTCATCTCTGTTGTTTTTCACTTTTGATTACCAGAAAGCAAGTTTTAAAAGTTGTGTTTAATGTATATATGGTAAGACATATTTTTTACACTATTAAACTGATTTAATTTTCAACAGAACAATATGAATGAAATTATCAAAAAGTATGGGAAAAATACAGTGTCACATAGACCAGTTGTGGCAAACCTATCTGTTGCAGCCAGCTATTTGTTATCATTGAAAGCTCTAAAAGACTCAACATCGCTGGTATAGATCATTCCACATTTTTCTGCCACCGTGCCTCTGGCACATGCTTATAACAGCCTCTGAGTACTTGGATGGATGAGAACAGTGAACTGAATCCTAGAGAAACAATTCCTTAGGTACCTTTTTGAGCCAGGCCCAGAGTCTCAAATAGAAAGTTTATACTTTGACACCTTTAGTCCTGCAACAGGTTGGGTGTTGGCGACTCATGATATGTCCTCTAGGCATCTTTCTTGTTGTCCAGTTTCATAATCTCTTCAAGAAACACATATCCTTTTCCCTCAGCTTACACACACTTCTTTTCTGGCCAGCATGTGAGTTATTGAAACTTTTCTGCTCTGGATTATGTTCCCAATGTTCACTGTACATCTGGCTAAAAGAAACCAGCAGCCTGAATGTTCAGCTGCTTTGAAATTTCCCCAAATAGATCAATTGGTTCACCATGTTTAAACATAGTCTTCCTCAGTCTCCTGACAGGCACAATATGTAGATGAGTTTTTTGTCAGAATGTAACTTGCTTGGTCTCCTTTTCCCAAGAGAATCTGCACTCCTTTCTAAAATCTGAAGGGCAGCCTTTACTCTCTGCAGTTCTACTAGCATTCCGGTCTGCAGAATCAATCAGAGTTGTTTATAAGCATTTGAGGATTTCTTTAGCTTCTATCTCCAAAGCATTCCAAATATTTTCTGCAAACTACTACCAAAGAGTTGTGAACCACATTGTCAGACATAATCATACCAGTGGCCAAGCATTCTAGTAGCAATTTTCTATATTGGTCCTAGTTACTTTTTGTTGCTGAGACACAATATATGAGACTCATAAATTAAAGGAGAGGTTGATTTTAGCTCAGTCTGTGGAGGTTTCAGTTCAAAGACAGGTGGCTTCAAGGCAGGGCAGCATGTCTAAGAGACATGGCAGAGAAAAACAGCTCATTACTTAGCAGCAGGACAGAGATGCATCAAAGAGGAGAGTAGAATAGGCCCAGTAAGGCCACACCCTCAGTGACATCACTCCTCCAAACAGAGTTCACCTCCCAAGTCACATTTAGCAGACTAATCCACTAATGAATCTCACGCACTCATATTCCGATCACCTTCTCAAAGCCCCACCTATGAGCTCATGAGACTTTGATGGGACATCTGCATACAATCATGACAGTCGGGTATAATCACAACAATGACCCCACTGTCAGCAAATCTCTATATTGGTCATTTTTTTCTTTGCTAGAATACAGTTCTCAGCATCCACAACTTAAAGGAGGGGACATTTATTTGTCTTCATACTTTAAGAAATGTTAATTCATAGTCGGGTAGCTCCAAGGCAGAAACATCATGTCAGGGGGGGTGTGGAAGAGCAAAACTGCTCACTTCCTAAGTAGAACACAGGAGAAAAGCATCAGGAGAGATACATGTTCCAAAGGCAAGTCCCAGCAGTCCACCTTCTTCTCTACCCAAGTCCAGTGATACTCCAACCTTGAATGTCAGTGATTAATCTGCAGTTGACTACCCCAAGATCAGTTGTCTCTGCAAGTATCTCTCGATTCAGTGTAGTTGACAATTAAGGTTTGTTGTCACAAAATTCCTGTAATACAGTAGTTGCTGAATCCAAATTGTCCTAAAGATAAGTCTGAAAGCAAGTTTTCTAACATTAAAGTATTCACTGAATGCAATTTCTAGTAAAGCAAAGAATAAACATAGTGAAGGGACAGATAAAAGACACATAATTCTTGCACTTCGAATTTTCCTTTTGTTTTATGTCTTTTTTAAAAAAAATTTTATCTAAGGAGAAAAAGAAAAAAAAATACAGAGAAAGGATACAAGTTATACAGATTAACAGAAAAAAAATAAACAGTAGGAAATCACTAGTTAATGGATTACATTTTGTCATCTTAGAAATAATTGTTCAAGTTACAAAATTAAAGCTTATAAAGTGGACATTCCTACAGTGAGACTACAAACAATTCTGTTCAATGATTCAACAAAAGTCAGTAATATCATTATCTATCTTATACACTTAAATATACATGCAGTTATATCATTTAGAGCACTTTCTTTTCCTCTCTTTTGTACAATGACAATTACATATTTTGGGTTTTGTTGCTCCCACAGTTCTTATTACTTTTTTGGAAGAGAGTAGAACCAAATGTGACATAACAGAACAGTCAGTCAAATCAAAAGGGTGGACATAATAGATAATGTAAAAGCATAATACTAGGTGATCAACAATGGTTACCATAATGCCTCCCGCTATCTCTAATAGAATTTCCTACATCATTAGTTATAATAAAATTGAACAAAACAGTAAAGAACAAAACCAACAAAACCAAAACATTGGAGACATTATAGATCTGCAAAAGTAGATAATTGGTGGGTGGCATGTAAGGACTTAGTTAATTGGGAAAAGCATTGTGTAGCTTCTTGTTATTTAATTAGTGATTCCCTAATTAAAGTAATGGGAATATAACAATTCAAAGCTTTTTTTGATCTGCCTATCTTCTTTAATAAAGTGTCACTCAGATATCTTATATGTTAAGGGATATTCAATGGAAAAGCTTACAATTCTTAGTGGTTTCTTAAGGTGCTGCCCAGAAACTTGTGTTGTATTTTCTTTTTTTAAGTTTGAGAATGAAAAAAGAATAGAATAATGACACAGGGTTTCAAAGCAACATAATAGTAGATTAACAATTGTTAATATACTGCATATTGTTATCTTCAAAGCAGTTGCTCAGATTACAAAATGTAGGCATGAAAAAAAATGATCAAACAATGGAAGCACAAACCATTGCTAGTAACCTGTTTCAGCACCTTCAGATGCTTTGTGTGATCTTCATAATTTTTCCTCTTGAGTCTTTTTGTGATTTCCATGGGAAACTGTTTATATAGATGTTCCTGAAAAACAAACTTATTGAAACTTTGGTTTTACTGAATCTGGAATCTTAAGACAGAAACTAACACAAGGGAGATGAAATAGGCACCTGAGACCAAGCAACCCCTAGAACCAAGATGGGAATATCTGCATGATAGATACTGCCTCTGGCTGTTCAGAACATTTTGGGTGTTGTGACTGAGACATGTCCTTGATGTTAGTTCCATGAATAGAGGAGCAATTGAGGGTACAAAAGAAATCTCCAGTACAGGTGGGGAAGTTGGAAGTATAGCAAAGTGGATCATAGAAGTCACAGAAGACCTCTGTTAGTGGGAGATTTGAGAAAGCACGGTCATGGAGACCAACCAAAAGTGAAATAGGATAATTATCCAGTGAGGGAAAAAAAAATCATTGATTTTGGCTCCTATTTGTGTGGGTATATTTGTTTAATTGATATGGTTATACTATTTCACATGATTTGTATATTCTTAGGATACAGTTACAAAGTTAATTTGGTTTTCTGGTGCTTCAGTAGAGACAAGGCTGCTTAGAGAGTTTGCTGGCAGACACTCACATTTACGATATAACAACCTGAGAACACAGAAAAAGAAAGAGAAGAAAAAACAGTATCTGGCCTTCTGAAATGAGCTAGACAATACTTTTTTGGTTTTAGTTATACTACTTACTAATCTCTGTTAGTTCATCCAAAGCACAGTTTGTGCTCTTATTGTTTGGTTACTTACTCATATTTTTTCATGCCTTAATCTTGCAACCTGAACAACTAGTTTAAGATAACATTATGCAATATATTAATTAGAATTAATTTCCTACTTTTTTTTCAAATTCCGTATACTTGCTGTCATTTTTTTTTCCTGTTTTCCATTTTTATAATTAAGACAAAAGAGGTAGATAGCATTTGGGCTTGCCTGTTGTTGTAGAATTGAGTGATAAATCAGATGGGTCTCAGTGTTTTTTGTTTTTAGGTTTTTAATTACTGTCTCCATTCAATTGACTATTATTGTATTTCTTATGGTTTTTATTTTTTGTGGTTCATTATTAGCCATTCATGTGGTTTTAGAAGTCTACCCATTTCTTCTGGATCCTCCAATTTATTGAATTACATGTTTTCAAAGTAGTTTTGACAATGTTCTAGATTTTAGCAGAGTATTGTAGTTTCACTTTTTAAATTTTAGTTGCATTGGTTTGGCCCTTTCCTTCATTTTTTCATACAAATGACTGTATTTTGTGTATTCTTTCAAAGAAACAGCTCTTCAGTCTATGATTATTTGTATATTTGTCTCAAATTCAGTAATGTCTGAACTGATGTTTAACAATTCATCCTTAAACTAGCTTTGCATTTGAATTGTTCAAGGTTTTCTAGGATCTTGTGGTCTATCATTACATTATTTATTTGTACTTGTTCTGTGTCTTGGTAACTTTTCTTACTGCTCAGACAAAATGTCTGAAACACAAAAGTAAGGAGGGAAAGATTTACTTCATTTTATAGTGTGTAGAGTTTTCAGCCCATGGTCAGCTGGTTTCACAGCAGAGTGGCATGGCAGTGGTACATCACAGAGGAAAAACAGTTAATAGTGTGACAGGAGGAAGACAGCAAGGAGCAGCTTGCCCTTCCATTTTATTCCCTCAAGGATGCAAGCCTTTTGGGTGGGGCCAAGTACACTGAGGAAAATTTCTGTCTTCATTCAGTCCACATCTGTAACTACATTACTTCCTATTTGTGGACTAGTGTAGTGCCACAGAGCTTTAATTTCAGTGCCACATGTGCTAGATTCAGCCAGTTCAGAAAACCCCACTTGAAGTAGTAGGTACAAGGCATAATGCTACTTTTTATGTGAACATTCATGGTTATAAATTTTCTTCTTAAAATCATTTTTATTGTGTACATTAGGATCTGGTATGTTGTAATGACATCACTTGATCCTGTAAGCTGTCACAGTATCTTCTTTATTTTGTTTGTGACTCAGTGATTCAATAAAGTGCTATGTTATTTCCATGTCTATGCCTAAATTTTTTGGTTTCTTTTGCCATTGATTTCTAGTATTATTGCACAGTGGTCCGACAATGTGCACAGAAAGGTTTCCATTACTTCATGTTATTTTAAGCATGATTCTTTGGATAATATGAGGTCTATTTTTGAGAAAATTTCATGTATTGCTGGGAAGATGTCTTTCATGTTTGGGTGGAGGGCTCAGTAGACATTCTATTATATCTATTTGTTTGAATATGTGCTTCAATTCCCATATTTATTTGTTTACTTCTTGTCTAGTTCATCGGCTTATTGGATGACATTGGGGGTATTAAAGACCTTTACTATAACTCTGTTGATGTATGTCTGATTTTACACCCAGGGATATTTCTTTTATGAGTTCAGCACTCCAATATTTGGTGTATATATATTGTATTTGCCTGTTAACTTGTAATATTATCTAATATGCTGTGCCCTTTTGTTGCTTTCTGCTCCATTTTGGCTTGAAGTCCAGGTAGACTGAAAATAAGATAATTGTTGCTCTCATCTTCAGGCTCAGGTTGCATGGAATGTTGTGTTCAACTTGTAAAATTAAGTCTATGAATTTCTTATTTAATTTTGGATTAAGTATGTTTCTTGTACATAATGTATAATTAGTTTTGGTTTTGCTTAGTACAATCTGGCAATCAGTGTCCTTTCATTTGGGAGTTGACATGAAAGTGTTTGAGTTAGTCTTGTCACTGCATCATCACACAGGAGACGTAGTCCATTGTTGGATAAGCAAAAAGCAGTCTGCTTACTTTTTCCTTTCTCCTTGATTGTATTACACTACAAGCATATTCATGGTTACCAACCATGGCAGAGGTGGCATTCCCATTATCCACACCTAGAACTGTGCTAAGCCAATCAGTGTAGTAATAAGTAGTCACACATCCTTCATTCATATTCACACACCCTGAATGAGCTACCTTGAAAAACCCCAAGTATAAGGGCAGGGAGCTTTGAGAAACAGCCAGATACAAGCCATCCCTAGCCTGAGAATTTCTGACGTGTTGGATTTGTGGTCTTGAATTTATTAAGGTGGTCATTGACAAAAAATATCCTATTTGTCCATTAACTGTGAAAGATAGTTTTGTGGGCATATTAATCTTGGTTGGAAATTGTTTACTTTTAGGGATTATAACACTTTGCTCCATGCTGTTATGCACTTTAAATTTTATGTTGGTTAGGAATGTACTTGGGGTGCATTTACTTTTCCATTTGACATGGAGCTTTTAAGATTTGGTCCTTTTGTTGGCATTTCAACTGTAACAAGCTGAAGAGTGGTTCTTTTCTGATTCTGGCTATTTGGGGATTCAATATTACATATTTACCTATATTTTAAATTATTTTTACATGTCTGGAAACTTTCCTTGTATGATTTCTGGAAACTGATATTATGTTACTCATGCAGTCCTCTGATTTTTCACTAATTCCAATGAATTATAAGTGAGTATTATTTGCATTATCTAGCAGCTATTGATCCATTTTCCTTGGTCTCTTGTTTTTAAGATATTCCTGACTCTATGGTCACATAAATGAACCCTAGGTTCTTGTTCTGACATTTGTGACTTCTGATTCCAGTGCTCTCACAAGATCTTTATAAAAATCTCCTGCATTTACATTTGGTGCATTTTCATGGACCATTGTTTTTGCTAGACTAGTCATTCATGTATTGGAAGATATTATGTTGTTCAGCTACATTTTAATCATGTCTTCTTTAAGAACTTCTTGTTTATTAAGTCCACTATCTGCTTAGTTATGTCTTCTTTGAGCTCACCAAGCACATTATCAATCTGTTTTCTTTTCTCTTTTATGTTTTGGTATAATTTAAGTGTTTGGCTTTATATTTTTTTCCTTCTGGATTCCCTGTGGATGAGTTTTGGGGCACTGGGTCTATTGGAGATATTTTCTTGCCCCGTTTGCCTATGTTTAATACTCTGTGTGAGAGTGTGTCTGTGTGCAGGCACATGCATGTATGTGTGCACATTAAGATTTGAGGACTTCTAAGATTGGAGTTTATTGCTAGATGTAGATCTCTTTAATCAGGATCTTATTTTCAGTGATGCACTCAGCATCAATAATTTTAATACTTTGCTTACCTCAACATTTCATCACTTCTGTTAATTTGAGGAGGAAAGGGTGTGGTGTAATTGGCTTAATGCTATTTTCTTATAAATAAACCGCAGTAGCATTGGTAGTTCAAGACAAAGCAGATATTGCCACATACTAAACTCCAATCATAGCCACAATTATATCACAAAAATAGGAAAGAAATCAATAACAATAGACTCCAAGAGAAATTGGATATTGGTGTAATACAAGAACAAATAAAGTGCCACTCAACCATTCATGAGTATAAATAAATGTAGAATAATAATAATAATAATAATGTATACAGAACTGTATATTAATTACTGATATACAATAAATGTATAATAAATTAAACAATAATACTATGATTAACAATAGAAAATAACAACAAAAAATAGAGTTAACTAAGTATTTAAAGATTAACAAAGCCTAATAGGAATATTAATAGAGGAGATAGGGAAGTGGAAATGAAAAGCAAACTTTTAACTTTTTTTTTAAATTTTAAATAGATTAAGACAAAAGAGGACATAACAAAGCAGATCAGATCAGAACAATTCAAGAAACAAATCATTTTACCACAAAACAAACCACAGTAACTACCATAATGCCTCTTTCTTTGAATTAATTGATCATAGTTTCATATACGATAGTATCAAACATAACAAAACAGTATAAAACCATTAAAGAGAATGAAATCATTACAGGGCTTTCAGAAACAAGCAGCACAGAATGAAAAATGGCTACTATATTATCTCATTGTCTATAGAAAATTTGTTTATGTTATCACTTACAATAATTTCCAATAAGATACGACGTGATAGAATCAAAGGAACAGAAAAAAAAGCATAGAACTTTAGAGTAAGATGATACTAAATCAGTTCTGCCTATTCTAATGTCTTGTTGTCTTCAAAATAGCTGTTCATACTATCACAGATAATAAAATCAAACAAACTAGGATAAAACAATTCCAACTAATGAATACAGACTTAATAAGGCTCCAAACCAATGTAATGGGGAATCATGATCACCATAAATTCTTATGTACACATACCATTTCTTACACAAGGGAGAATATATGGTATTTCTACATGTGAGTCTGATTTATTTCGCTTATGAGTATGGGCTCAAGGCATCCATTTATTTATAAATATCTCAATGTTATCATACTTTATACCTGAGTAGTACTCTATTTTATTTTATTTTTTTAAATTTTATTTAAAAGGAAAAAGAGAAAAAACAAAACAAAACAAAGCGGTGTAACGGTACAAGTAATACAGAACTACAAAAAACAACAACAACAACAACAACAACAACAAAAACGTAAGAAATCACCAGTTAATAGATTACATATTATCATCTTAGAGATAGTTGCTCAAATCACAGTATCAAAGCATACAAAGTGGACATTCAAACAGTGAGACTGCAAACAGTTGTCTTCAATGATACAACCGAAAACATTAATATGGTCAGCTATTTAACACCCCTAAACACACTTGCTGTTGTATCCTTTAGAGCTCTTTTTTTCCCTCTCTTTTTTACAACAAAATTTACACAATTTGTGTTTTATTACTCCTTAGTTCTTATTACTTTTTTGAGGGGTGAGAATAAAGTCAAATATGGAAAAACAAAGCTGTCAGTCAAAACCAAGGATAGACATAGCACATGATGTAAAACAGAGTACAAGGTTATCAACAATGGTTATCAACCATGTCTCTTGTTTCCTTAAAAAGAATTGTCTATCTCATTAGATATTATAAAGTTGAACAAAACAGTAGAGAACAAGACCAATAAAACTTAAGCATTGTAAACATTACAGGACTTCCAAAGGAGACAATAGTCAAACCAGAATGGGCATCTTAGTGAATCTTATTGCCTTCAAAGTGGTTGCCTATACCCTCAAACTTGATACTATCGCACAGAATGGAACAGAGTCTAATCAGTTAAAACAAGATCGTGGGAGTATTACAGGACTTCAAAACAAGTTAATAGGAAATCAAAAAAGTTACTATTATATACCCTGATAATTTAAAAAAAATTTCCCCTTAATTAAAAAAAACAAAAAATAACTAAATAATTTTTAATGAATAAGGCAGAGGTTGAGATAAAACAGGACATAACAATATAACAATACAGGTCAAAGCATGACTGTTTCAGCAACCTAGTGGTTCACCACCAAATTACCCGACTTAATAGTAGTTACCATAGTGTCTGTCTTTTTCCATGAAATATTTGAATAAAACTTCATATACTATAGTTTCAAATATTTCCATATCAAGAAGCCCAGAAGAAAGCCTTTCCAATTAATAAGTGAAAACTTTATAAGGCTTCAAAGCCACATAATGGGGAATCATGATTACCACATATTTTTATATATTTGAATCATTACTTACATTAGGGAAACTATTCGGTATTCACACATGTGAGATTGATTAATTTCACTTATGAGTATGGTCTCAAGCTGCACCCCTTTATTGATAAATATCTAAATGTGATCTTTCTTTATAGGTGAATAATATTCCATTGTATAGAAATACCACACTTTTATCCATTCCCCAGTTGATGGACACTTGGGTTGTTTCCAAGATCTGGCGATTACAAATTGTGCTGCTATAAACATAGGTGCACATGTATCACTGTGTTATGATGCTTTCAGTTCTTCTGGGAATATGCCTGGAAGTGGAATAGCTGGAATAAATGGGACTTCCAACCCCAGCTTTTTGAGAAATCTCCAGAATGCCCTCCACAAAGGCTGCACCAGTCTACACTCCCACCAACAATGTAGGAGAGTTCCTTTTTCCCCACAGCCTCTCCAGCATTTGTTGTTGTTGGTTTTCTTGATCCTGGCCATTCTTTCAGGAGTGAGATGGTATCTCAGTGTGGTTTTAATTTGCATTTCTCTAATGACCAATGATGATGAACATTTTTTCATGTATTTATTTGCCATTTGCATTTCTTCATCTGAGAAGTGTGTATTCATCTCAGATGCCCATTTTTGGATTGGATCTTTGAATTTTTGGGGTCTGAGTTTTTTAAATTCTTTATATGTTTTAGACAAGAGTCCCTTATCTGAGAGAGAGTTCATTAAAATCTTTCCCAGTTTGTGGGTTTTCTTTTCATTATGCTGGAGATTTCTTTTGACATGCAGAAACTTTTTAGTAAGAAGTGGTCCCAGTTATTGATTCTGGCAAGGATTTCCCATGCAGTTTGAGTCCTGTTCATGAATTCTCTACGTACTCCTATGTCTTCAAGGTTTCTACCCAATTTGTCTTCCAATAGATTTAGTGTTTGTTTTAATATTCAGATCTTTGATCCATTTAGATTTTAATTTAGTACATGGTGATAGACATGGGTCTAGCTTTAGTTTTCGGCAAATGGAGAGCCAGTTTTTCCAGCACCATTGATTAGACTGTCATTCTTCCAGTGAACCTGCTTGACTCCTTTATCAAAGATAAGGTGGTTGAGTGTGTTTGTAGTTGTGGTTTTATCTTCTAATCTATTTCATTGATCTTCGGCTCTGTTTTGATTCCAATACCATGTTGATTTCACTACTGTTGATTTGTAGTATAACTTCAAGTCAGGGATTGTGATGTCTCCTGCTTTGTCTTTGCTGCTTAGAATTGCCTTTGCTATTCTAGGTCTCTTCTGGTTCCAGATGAAATTTAGGAGTGATTTCTCTAGATCTATAAGGTATGCATATGTATTTTTATTGGGATTGCATTGAATCTGTATAACAGTTTTGAGAGAATGGCCATTTTCACAATGTTTGTCCTTCCTATCCATGAGCAAGGGATGTCTTTCCATTTTTTGAGATCATCTTCAATTTCTTTTTTCACTGTATTGTAATTTTCACTGTATAAGTCTTTCAATTCTTTCATAAGAGTCATTCCTAAATATTTCATTTCTTTGCTTGCTAATGTGAAGAGTGTTGTTTCTCTTATTTCCCTCTCTGTGATTTTGTTGTTCGTGTATAGGAATGCTATTGATTTCTGAGTATTGGTTTTGGATCCAGCCACATTACTGAATGTATTTATTGTATGTAAGAGTCTTTCAATGGAGTTTAGGGGGTCTTCTATGTAGAGTATCATGTCATCTGCAAACAATGATAATTTAACTTCTTTTCCTATCTTTACCGCTTTTATTTCTCTCATTTGCCCAATTCCTCTGGCTAGTACTTTCAGTACTATATTAAATAGGAGTGGTGATAAAGGACATCCTTGTCTTGTGCCTGATTTTAAAGTAAATGCCTTCAATTTTTGGCCGTTTAGTATGATGCTGGCTGTTGGTTTGTCATAAGTGGCCTTTATTATATTGAGGTAAAGACCATCTATTCCAATTTTCTGTAAAGTTCTTATCATGAATAAATGTTGGACCTTATCGAAGGCTTTTTCTGCATCTATAGACATGATCATGTGATTCTTACTTTTGGCTTCACTGATATGGTGGATTACATTAGTTGATTTACGTATGTTGATCCATCCTTGAATTCCTGGGATGAATCCCACTTGGTCATGGTGTATAATCTTCTTGATGATTTGCTGCATCCTACTTCCCAATATTTTATTGAGGATTTTGCATCTGTGTTCATTAGGGAGATCAGTCTATAGTTCTCTTTTTGAGTTGGGTCTTTCTCAGGTTTTGGTACTAAAGTAATATTTGCTTCCAGGAATGACGTAGGAATGATTGCTTCCCTTTCAATTTCATTGAATAGTTTGAAGAGTGTCAGCCTTAGGTCTTCTTTGTATTTCTTGTAGAATTCTGCAGTGAATCCATCTGGGCCCGGGCTCTTCTTTGTAGGTAAGGACTTAATTACATTTTCCATTTCATTAACAGAGATTGGGTTATTCAACAGTTTTACATCCTCTTGATCTAGCTTTGGTACTTCATATGTTTCTAAGAATCTTTCTATTTCTTCTGTGTTATCAAACCTTTGTGAGTAAAGGTTTTCGAAATAGGTGTTGATGATCTTCTGTATTTCCATTGGGTCTGTAGTGATTTCACCTTTTTCATTTCTTATTGCTTGAATTTGAGCTTTTTCTTCCCTTTTTTAATAAGGTTGGCTAGGGGCTTATCGATTTTATTTATTCTTTCAAAGAACCAACTCTTTGATTCATTGATTCTTTGGATTGTTTTTTTTAGTCTCTATTGCATTGATTTCTGCTCTGATTTTTATAATTTCCTCTCCTCTTTTGGCTTTGGGCTTGACTTGCTCTTCTTTTCTAGCTTTTTGAGGTGTAGCATCAAGTTATTTATTTGTATTCCTTCTGTTTTCCTGATGTGGGAACTCAGTGCAATAAATTTTCCTCTGAGGGCGGCTTTCATTGCATCCCACAAATTCCAATAAGTTGTATCTGCATTTTCATTTTCTTTTAGGTATTGTATAATTTCTTCTTTAATTTCTTCTGTGACCCACTGATTACTCAGGAGTGTGTTATTCAGTTTCCATGTGTTTGTGGGATTTTTGCAGTATCTTTTATCATTAATTTCTAATTTCAGAGTGCTATGATACGATAACATGCAAGGGATGATTTCAAATCTTTTGCATTTGTTTAAATATGTTTTGTGAGCTAATATATGGTCTGTTTTAGAGAATGATCCATGTACTGCTGAGAAGAATGTGTATTCTGATGTTGTTGGGTGGAACATTCTGTATATGTCTATCAAATCCATTTGTACGCAGGTGTGATTCAGTTCTGGTATTTCTTTGCTCATTTTCTGTCTGGTTGATCTGTCCCTTGGTGTCAATGGCATATTAAGGTCTCCGGTTACAATTGTGTTACTGATAATTTGAGTTTTCATTTCTGTTAATAGTTGTTTTATATAACTGGGTGCTCTGGAGTTTGGTGCATATATATTTCAGATAGTTATCTCTTCCTCTTGGAGTTTTCCCCTTATGAGTATGTAGTGACCTTCTTTGTTCTTTATGGTCATTGTTGGTTTAAAGTTCACGTTGTCTGCAAACAGAATGGCTACTCCTGCCTTAGTAGTCTATTTTTTAAAAAAATACCATAACATTATTACCATTCCTCAGTTGATGGACACTTAGGTTGTTTTCAATATCTGGCTATTACAAATTGTGCTGCTATAAACATGGGTTCACATATATCACTGTGGTACGATGCTTTCAGTTCTTCTGGGAATATGCCTAGAAGTGGAATAACTGGAACAAGTGGGATTTCCAACCTCAGCTTTTTGAGGAATCTCCAGACTGACATGCACAATGGTTGCACCTGTCTACACACCCACCAACAGTATAGGAGAGTTTCTTTTTCCCATATTCTCTCCAGAATTTGTTGGTAGTTTTTTGATTCTGGCTATTATTTCTGGAGTGAGATGGGATCTCATTGTGTTTTTAATTTGCATTTCTCTAATGAGTAATGATGATGAACATTTTTTCATGTATTTACTTGTCATTTGTGTTTCTTAATCTGAGAAGTGTGTATTCATCTCAGATGCCATGTTTTTGACTGGGTCTTTGAATTATCTGGGTCTGATTTTTTAAAATGCTTTATATGTTTTATACCTAAGTCCTTTGTTTGAGCGACAACGAACTAAGATATTTTTTCCAAGTTTGAGGATTTTCTTTTCACTATGGTGGATATTTTTTTTGACATGGAGAAATTTTTTGATAAGATGTGATCCCAGCTGTTGATTCTGGGAAATATTTCCCATGTAGTTTGATTCCTACTCCTATGTCTTCAAAGTAGAAGTCTGTATCTATCCCTATGTCTTCAAGATTTTTACCTCATTTGTCTTCCAACAGATTGAGTGTTTCTCTTTTAATATTCAGATCTTTAATCCATTTAGATTTTAGTTTAGTACATTGTGACAGGGATGGGTCTAGTTTTAGTTTTTGGCATGTGGAGAGCCAGTTTTTCCAGCACCACTTACTCAATAGACTGTCGTTCTTCCAGTGAACATGTTTGGCCTCTTTATTAAAGATAAGGTGGTTGAATGTGTTGGTAGTTGTGGTTGTATCTCTAATCTATTCAATTAATTTTCAGATGTTTTTATTCCAGTATCATGTTGATTTTCTTACTGTTGCTGTGTAGTATAACTTCAAGTCAGGGATTGTAATGTCTCCTGCCTTGCTTTCGCTGTTTAGAATTGCCTTTTCTATTCTATGTCTCTTTTGGTTCTAGATGAAATTTAGGATTGACTTCTCTAGATCTATTTAGTATGTTGATGGTATTTTCAATGGGATTGCATTGAATCTATATAACCCTTTTGGGTGATTATCAATTTTTACAATATTGATTCTTCTTATCCATGAGCAATAGATGTCTTTACATTTTCTGAGATCTTCTTCAATTTCTTTTTCAGGGTATTATAATTATCCCTCTATAGATGTTGTACTTTTGTGAGATTAATTCTTGAATATAACATATTTTTGGATGTTACTGTGAAGGGTGTGGCTTCTTTTATCTCTTTCTCAGTAATTTTGTTAGTGTATAGAAATACTATTGAGTTTTGAGTATTGATTTTCTATCCAGCTACATAATTTAATTTATTTATTATATCTACGAGTCTTTCAATGGAGTTTTGGGGGTCTTCTATGTAGAGTATCATGTCATCTGCAAATACTGATACTTTAACTTCCTCTTTTCCTATCATTACCCCTTTTATTTCTCTCTCTTGTCTTATTGCTCTGGCCAGTTTTCTAGTACTGTGGTGAATAGGTGCAATGATAAGGGACATCCTTGGCTTGTGCCTAATTTTAAGGTAAAGGCCTTCAGTTTTGGGCCATTTAATATGATGCTGGTTGTTGGTTTGTCATAGATGACCTTTATCATATCAAGGTAAAGAACATCTATTCCAATTTCCTGTAAGTTTCTTGGCATGAATGAGTGTTGGACCTTATCAAATGCTTTTTCTACCTCTACAGAGATGATCATGTGATTCTTTCTTTTGGCCTTATTGATATGGTGAATTGCACTTATTGACTTACATATGTTGAACCATCCCTGCATTCCTGGGATGAATCACACTTGGCCATGGTGTGTAATCTTCTTGAGGATTTGCTGCATCCTAATTGCCAATATTTTATTGAGGATTTTTGTGCCTGTATTCATTAGGGAGATGGGCCTGTAGTTGGCTCTTTAATCAGCTTTTGGTAGTAGAGTAATATCTGCTTCCAGAAGTGACTCAGGAAGAATTACTTTCCTTTTGATTTCATTAAAGTGTTTGAAGAATGTCAGCAGTAAGTCTTCTTTGTATTTCTTTTAAAATTCCCCAATGAATCCATCTGGGCCTGGGCTCTTCTTTGTAGGTAGGGACTTAATTTTCAATTTCATTAATAGAAATTGGTTTATTCCACTGTTTTACATCTTCTTCACCCCGCTTTGGTACTTCATTTGTTTCTAGGAATCTGTCCATTTCTTTTGTGTTATCAAACCTATGAGAATAGAAGTTTTTGAAATAGATGTGGATGATCTTCTGTTTTTCGACAGAATCTATATTGTTTCAACTTTTTTGTTCCTTATTGCATGAATTTGAGCTTATTCTTCACTTTTTAAATAAGGTAGGATAGGGGATTATCAGTTTTGTTTATTCTTTCAAAGAATCAACTCTTTGATTCCTTGATTTTGTTGGATTGTTTTGTTAGCCTCTATTATATTTATTCTGCTCTGATTTTTATAATTTCCTACCTTCTTTTGGCTTTGGGCCTGACCTGCTCCTCTTTTTCTCGTAGCATTCCTATACAGTAACAACAAAATCACTGAGAGAGAAATAAAAGAAGCCACACCCTTCACACTAGTATCCAGATGAGGCAATACAAATGGAAAATAAATACATGAAAATGTGTTCATCATCATCACTCATTACAGAAATGCAAATTAAAACCACACTGAAATTCCATCTCACTCCATAAAGAATGATCATCATAAAGAAAACTACCACATCCCATTTGACAAACCTATTTCACTTCTAGTCATATTCCCAGAAGAAAACATAAAACATTATACCACAGTGATATAAGTGCACCCATGTTTATAGCAGCACAATCTGTTATAGCCAGATCTTGGAAAGAATCTATGTGTCAATGAACTGAGGAATGGATAAAAATGTTGTAGTACTTTTTATAAAATAGAGTAGTGCTTAGCTATAAGGAATTATCACATTGAGATATTTATAAATAAATAGATTTAGCTTGAGACCATGCTCATAAGTGAAATAAATCAAACTCACATGTATAAATACTGTATATTCTCCCTAGTGTAAGAAACGGTAAGTGTACATAAGATTTTTTGGTAATCATGATTCCCTATTACATTGCTTTGAAGGCACAATGTTTTCATTCATTAGTTGGCATGGTTTTATTCTAGTTTGTTTGATTTTATTATCTGTGATAGTATGATCAGATATTAAAAAGTAAAATATTAAAATAACCATTGCTGATTTAATATCATCTTGGTTTGAAGTGCTACCATGCTTTTGTTCTTATGTTTCCACTGGTTCTATCCACTGGATTTTATTTTGTGTGACAGTATAAACAGATATTTTATGGAAAATGAGATGATAGACTAGCCATTGTTTATTTTTGGTTATTTGGTTCTGAATGCCCTGTAATACTTTCATTCTCCTGAATAGTATTTTACTATTTTGTTGTGGTTGATACTATTGTATGTGAAGGTAAGCTCAAGTATTTCAAAAAAAGAGACATTATGGTAGCTACTGTTAATATACATACAGTTGTCTTGTGGTGAAGTACTGTGTTGCTTACATTGTTCTGTTATGATCTTCTTTGTTCTGTATTCTTTTGTCTTAATCTCTTTAAATTAAAAATTAATAAAATATGCACCACTGATAAGTGCTTAATTAACAAAGAAAAGAGACATAAAATAGACTAAGGGGATATAGTTATAATTGTGAACAGCAGTTTAGGAAGTAAACTGAATATATGAAACTGGAGTATTTGTTCACACATTTTCTCCATTTATAAATAATTTAAATGAGGGCAGCTAGAGAGAGTGAAGGGGGAAAAGAATAGAGGATGGAAGAGACTGTTTACACTGTACCATGCTGTATTTTATGAATTCCTAAATTCTTAGGTCTGAAAGGAAAGTAGAAACCCAAGTCCTGCTAGTGACCTTGGACAGAAAGTGTTCAGTGAAGCCCATGGACTCTGTCCTGAGATCAGATACCTTCTCTGCTCTCCCCTCCTCCCTGAGGAAAGGACTCCTATTGGGGCTGGGCTGAGCTTGGGTATCAGATATACTTACATTGCCAAGGTGGGGATTGTGTCATGTATTTTCACATCTTATACACAGCGATGTCATGGATCTACTTTCCTTCTCCTATGCAAGTATTTTGGCATTTGACATCTCATTATTAGACTAAAAGTAGTAAATTCATTTTAGATCATGTTCATTCGACATTTTTTCTTTTTTGGAGACATGATCTCACTATGCAGTTAAGACTGGCTTTGCATTCTCTTTGCAGGCTAGCCTGGTCTCACACTTGCAATTGATTCTCCTGCCTCAGCCTCCAAAGTGCTAGGATTACAAGAACGTGCCACCACATTGGTTAATTTGACATTTAAAAGAAATCTTATTTCACAAAATTTTTAAGTTTCCTTGAGGTGGCAATGGATGACCATTAAGTGAAATTCCTAAATAGAAAATGAAAAATGTACATACATGTATATGCACTTATACAATTAATTTTAACCAAAATGTTCTGTTGACCTCGGGTAGGTCAAAAGTCACTTGAAGGCTATGTATTTCAGGGTCTCTTCAGGTCATAGAACGTTAAAACAGAAAGAAAATCCTAGAGGCCAAATGAAAGCCCTCAGTGCCAGCTTCCATTCCTGCACCCGCTCTTGTTGCCTTTCTTTCCCAGTGGAAAGAGCGCCGCCTTCTGGTTCTGAATCAGGAAAGTTTCTGTATGGGTTCACCGTGATGTTCCCTCACTCTGTATCAGCTGGCAGTGTGATACAGAGCCATGTCCTAGGGTCTAAGGCTACTCATTTGCAGTTACAGCGTATCCTTGCCATTGCTGGTCAGGTGGTGAATTGGCACTTCATGGAGTCTGCGTAGCTGACATAGCTACTATCATAATTAATGCATGTCCTCCACTCTAGTTCCTTCCTTGGAGGCTGGCAGAACCAGTGCCATAGCTAGTGAAAGTGTATCCAGAAGCTGCACAGGAGTTTCAGGAAGCCCTCAGACTTCACCAAGCCTCCCCTGACTCCACAACTCCTCATAAGCCTAGACACATGGAAACAAAAGAAGATCCTGATCTGGAAATTGTCACACATGTCCACTGTTATCCCTCTCATGTCCACTTCCCCTTCCTTTATTTATTGTTCACAATTTACCTTTCAGAAGTGCAAACAGGAAAACCCAACTCAGCCCCAAATCTATAGTGATTGTCTGTGCTCATTTCTGATCACTTCATGGTAATAGTTGCCCATCCAAGGCTCAGTTTCTGTCCAGAGCTCAGGATCAGGCCTAGGCTGGTTTTCATGGGCACAGAGAAGCTTCATTTGCATTTATTCCTGCTATATAAATAGCGCTGTTATTAGATCCTTAGAGCAGGCTGTGTCCACAGCAAACGTGAGTGCACTGGGCAAGTCTGATAAAAAAGACATATTCGCTATTGTGATAGTACTCTGTTGTGTTTTTGACTTTTCATCAGTCTTCATTTCTGTCCATATACTCAGATCATGCCTTTTATGTTAATGATGCTTGTTTTGTAAACATGTGAAATATTGAGTGCCATGAAAAGTTGTGTCCTCCACTTAGGATCTGATGCTGTGTGAATGTCTTTCCTGTTTTCTAGGTTTATACTCTTCTGATTTATGAGCAGATTGATCCATGCCCCAGCTCGTGGCCACTTCTATTGCATATTTAGACCCCTCTCTGTGGTGAGAATGTGTGTGCCAGCCCTATTTCTGATCTTTTCTGAGAGAAAACAGCACAAGCATTCATTTGGATCCTGTTAATCAGTTTCTCAAACTCACTTGTGATTACCTCCCTCTGTCTCAAATTTTTCTAACTTTTTTATTTTTTGGTTTTTGTATTCATTTTTGTTAATAGTGTTTACTGTATATAATGGATGCATTTATTGTAGACTCTTACACATGTGCATAAAACACTTGAATTCTTTAACCAGATTCCGTCTAACATTCCTCCATTTCCTTTAGATTTTGCAAAATATCTTTGAATTTACCTTTTCTTCGATTTAACAAACTTATACTCTTGTTTTCTTTCATAAAATAAACTATGAAGTATTTAAAGTTTCTGATTTATTTCACTTATATAGTGCAACAGTATTTCCAGCTATTCCTTTGACAGTCAATGACTATTAAGAATATAATATATAAAAAAGTCAAAAAATTGATCACCCTGAATGCAAGAAATCGGCAATTGAAATGAATAAAGAGTTTTCTGAGTCAAAAATGAAAAGGCCAACAGATAAATCCAGTATTTTCAGCAATTAGCAATCAGGGAAAGTAAATTCATATCTTCAAGATCTTTACTTGAATATTTATCCTACAATATATCCTTGTGTACATTTTGTATCTTTTTGCATTGAAAACAATATACTGCTTTGGAAATGCCACAGTTTTCCATTTTGTATCACAGGTGCCTCTTTATTCTCTTACCAACATTCCAGGCTATCATTTCACCTGAAAAATGTTCCACATTTCTTTTACTTTTTTTTATCCCACATTCCTTAAATAACATCAATATATGTTTGTGATATGTAAAAATTGTATGTCCCATCTTGGTCATTTTTACGTTCCCTCTGTCATTCCCTTTGCCTCAAAGTTCTTCACCTTTCCACAGAAGTCACTTTTCATTTCCTTAACAAGTTTCTTTGATTCTTTTAATTGTTTCCAATGTGTCTACTATGTTAAACAGATAGTGTGATATTTAACTTTCTTTGTTGCAATTAATTTACACTTATTTTCTCAATGCCCAATCACTTTATTTAGAACAAGTCAAACATACACCTATTCTGTAAGTACACCACATTTTCCATCTTCTTTTATCCTGCATGAGTACAAATAATTCACTTTCATATTTTATCTCTTGTGAACTGTGGTAATATAAATATACATTACTATAATTGATGACTTTAATATTGCACAATCAAACACATAAAGAAATTCACAATCACGTAAAAAGATATCAGTTGTTAACAAAATTAAATGATTATATTACCTATCTATTTGTTTAGTTTTAAAAATTTGCTGATGTGGGGCTGGGGATTTAGCTCAGCGACATAAGCACCTGCCTTGCAAGTGTGCGGTCGTGAGTTCGATCCCTGGTACTGATAAAAATGAAAAAGACAAAAAAAAACAATTTTGCTGATGTTTCTGAAGGTACTCTTGTGACATGTAAAATGTTTCCTGCAATTTCCTGTGTGACGTTATGCCTGAAAGAGTTTCATAAATTTCAGTGTCACCACATATCTCTTAAATGATCTATTTTGTTAAAAGCAAGAATATTTGCAAAGCCATTCTGAGTGTGGGAGGACTATCAAGATGAACAAGAAACCACTTCACCTTTCCGGTTACTTAGGACAAGCCATGCAGATCCTGAGAGAAGAACAAGCCAAATTTCCCAGTTCTGTGAGTCAACAGAAGCTGTGCTAGGTCTGAGAGGAATAACAAGAAGTAAATGAATCCAATTTTCCCTTCCCATGACCTGTCACAGGCATGCAAGTCCTGGGTACAGAACAAGCCAAATGCACCCTACCCATGACTGGCACAAACCATGCTGGGCCTAGGGGAAGTAACACGAAGAAAAATAAATCAATTCACCCTTCTTGTGAGCCAACTGGTTGAACCAACTAACAATATGACTGTGACTGTGGGTTAGGATACTTTGGAAGAGTTAATAGATTTGTTTCCTGTGGGGCACTGCCTAATGAGAAGGGAGTTGAATTGCATCAGAAGTGACAAGAGCAAGGGAAACTGCTTGAGAAAACAAAAATATATAATTTTCCAGAAGATTCACATTGAAGAATTTGGCAGAATGTTTTGCAAATACTACTAGCTGCTTATATCTTGGAAACAGACCCAAGCACAGCAATGCTTTTAATAACAGAAGCTAAACTCCCTTATGCCTTATCTTCATGTAGGGATTAAAGCATATATGATGAAATCAGGCCAGGGTGATATTTCCACTGTCCCCTCCCAGATCTATACTGAAGCTATTTCATTAACACATGCTCTTAAAACTTATTCATAGGCTCTAAGTCTATGCACCTTTGAAAAGTCTTCCCTATAAATACATGAGGCTTTGAAAGGACATGGGGATCCAAGCCAAAAGATAGATTACTTATAAGTATGTATGTAAGCAGAGTAAAGAATTCTCTATCATTTTCTGTTGGTCCTCCATTGAAGCAAATGACCAATGGAATTTTGATGAGACAGGCACATTCCTTTTTGTAGACAGATATCTGGTTGTGTTGGATCAAGTAACTATCAAGTTATTGAGGTGTCATGGCCAGTGCTGCTCTCTGGCAGAAACATAAAACTTCCTCAGTTGAAACTGGCTCCTAGATGCAGAAAAGTTTCCATTTGTCTACTATACTTTGTCTCTTTACTATTCAGTTGGAAATTACACATTTTATTCCAAACTGTTGGGAAACATGGTCATTAGACTGCACATCTTCTAAATATCAGGCCTATTGCTTTGAACAACTTTTTGCCTTTTCTGGATGAGGAAAACAGCTATCAAGGAGATGATTTGCATATGTGCCTGACATTTGCTGATTAAGAGTAAGGTAGAGATTTAGTCAGCCTTTTAACTTTCATGTGGAAGAAGACAAATAAATATGCCTTTATTCATGAGTAAATTGTGTTTATTAGGTGATGGATATAAATTTAACACGTGAACTTCAAAAACATAAATCTTAAAATGGATTTAAAATATGTAGTCACGTCTTAGTGGTATAAAACATTGTTTAAGTGATTAGGCAAATAACAGATATGTCTTAGAGACTTTTTCACCATAAAACACTGAGTAGGATTTTTCTCCAAGCCATTATTACCAATTGGTCACTAGAAGTGACCTCCTTTGTAGGCGTGATATTGTTCAAAAATTTGCAATTCATTTTTTGGTACTTGCCTGACTTTCAAAGAACTACAGAGAATTAATTTAGTAGTAAACTGTGCTTTCTTCTTTAAATATGTTGTTATGCCTGAGATCAATCATAACTTATCCTTACATAAACATTTATGTAAATACACAAATTTCTGGAGAAGAAAAATTACACACAATTTTGAGCAAAGATGGTTTTGTCAGATTTTATCTTCTGAGCTCATTTTGGATGGAGTCAACCTGCTGTAGAGTGGAATCTCCTTATGGAATAATTTTGGGATATAAAAATCAAATACAAATTAGTGCAAATACCTGATATTTTATTCTTTCTAAAGATGTTCAATTCAAGATCAATATGCCTTACTCCTTTGGAATATATTCTTAAACACTGCAAAATATTTTATCTTTCAATTGTGAAAATGTGACTTTTGAGGGCCAGTGCTTCATCCCAGTGGCAAAAGAGCTTGCCTGGAAAACACAAGATCATGAGTTGAATCCCTGACACCAAAAAAAAAGTGCCATTTGCTATTTCCTGAACCTTAACAGGAGCAACAGCCTTTCGAGAGGCAAAATGTAAAACACAGAGAATAATTAACCATGATGCCTGAGCATAACTAGGGTTATATTTTGGAAAATTTGACAAAAGTTCAGAGTTGCCTTATGTTCAACCTTTCTTCGCAAAATAAGTAATTATTATTTTTCCCAAACCATAATTTCGTCATATGAAACTCCCTAAATTCACAATTCTCTCTCTTTCTCACTGATGTAAAGCAGTTCAAACTTAATCTAGGAAAGTTTCAGATGACACTGATAAATACATTAATATCTATAGATTACTTCCTCAGATCTCTGAGCTACACTGGAAAGATTTAATATAACTTTTAAACATTGATTTACAAAGAGACAAGCAGAAATTTAAGCTGGTATTACATCAGGGATTAATGTCACATTGTTTACTTGAGAAGACTAGAAGACAGCTAGGAATATAAACAGTTCTCACTCGAGGCCAAGCAACACCTAACCATGAAATTGATTTGTCTAACAGGGGCATAGGTCATCAAAATACGAGACACTTTCATGTATTCATGCTTGAAGGTCTGAAAAGGTCAGGCACATAAAATCAAGCCCTTCAATTGTTTTAAGTTGTCAGTTTTTCAGCAATCATATTACATTAAATAAAAAATTAAAACTGCTCTTCATTCATAGATTTTTGTAGAGGCATTGGAAAACAATATACATGGAAATAGATCTAACAAATTAAAAGACCTCTTCTTGAAAACTATTGCTTTCTAAAAGATAGATGGAAAAAGATATCAAAAATGGGTTGATATCTGTTATTCTTGTGGCAGAAGAATGAATATTGTAAAAATGTTTATTCTTCCAAAGCAATTATAGAGATTTAATGCAATGCATAGAAAAATTATGGCAGCATATCTCACAAAATTATAGAAAATATTCTAAAATTTATTTGGAATCAGAAAAGACCTTGAATATCAGAAATATTTCTGAGAACAAAGCAAGGCAAGGGACATCACAATCTCTGACTTGAAATGGGACTGCAAAGCTAATGTGATTAAAAGAAAACACTTTGCTATTGGCAAAGCAGAAGAAAATCACCCAAGAATCAGTGGAACAATTTGGAATATGCAGAAATACTTTCAAGCACAATCAGTCAGCTTATCTTTGAAAATGGAGCCATAGACTTTCTCTAGAAG